TAGTGATACACGACCGCACACCGGTACGATGCTCATCCAGATCGAAACGGGCAGGGGTGGGGATTGAACGCCTTTTTAGAAAAGAATATTTGCTGTATTACCACCCGTATACCCAAAAGATTTGACTTTTTTTTGTCAAAATAGAATGCCCAACGCGCCTAGAAATAGCAATATTATAGTAACGCAAGAAATCTTCCCGTAATCAACTATTTTTATTGGTCACATTTTATGGAGCTAATGGAGACCCAACCCCCCCCCCCTTCCCCCCCGCTTTCCCGATCCAAGAAAAAACAGTGCGCGTGCATTTCTACTGCTGTGAGTTTACCAGGAAGTTTTGCCAGCTAAACCTGGTTATTTTTATTGACTAAAGCCCAACAAACGATATGCTATCAAAATCAGGCTTCATAAAAAAACAGCAACAAAAAAACACTTGACTGCTTTTTAAAGATATGTGTAGGTGCACCTCAGGGATGGGCAAAATACATGCAAATATGTATCGAAATACAAATACAAAATACTTCGTCAAAAATGTATTTAACTACAAATCTGATTACATTTCCAAAAAATAATTTAAGTACAAGATACAAATACAACCAAATTTATTTAGTCTCCTCCAAATACTTTTCCAAATACATTCTTTAAAATTTGCGTCAGCGACTTCAGGGCACTTGCAATCGGTTTCTGGGTATATCATTTTAATTTTGCATCGCACGCTCGGGAGTTAGTGTGCGAGGCTCTAGTAAAGTAATAGAAATATAATCACAAAAAAATGTAATCAGCTTGGACGCAATAGGTAAAAAAAGTACAGAGCTTCCAGCAGCTTTTTTTTGTCGATTACATTTTGGTATAGACCATCACAGAACCGAGACGGCCAAGACGCGCAGCACTAGCTAGGGAATTTTTTATTGTTGCAACTCGCACCACTTACGAAACTCTGGACGACCCGCGCATTTAGAAGGTTCCAGGCAAAAATATGAACGGAAATCAGGCTGGAAAGCATCATAAGTTGTCCCAGGCACTTATTTAGCCAGCCTGCCTGTAAACGTCGATTTCGTCACTATTCTTGCCCTGGACTAGCACTGTAATCACAAAGTCACTAAACGCTTGTGCTTGACTGAGAGACACTGCATTCGGTGCGGAACGTAGTTTTCTTCCTGCTCTGGACAGTGACAGTGAATTTGAGGGATGTATTTTCGCCCACAAAATTGCATTTAATTACAATTGTATTTGAAATACCGACGTTTAAGTATTTAAATACACAGGTGAAATACATTACCCAATTTGTAATTAAATACAAATGCAAAATACACAAAGTATTTTAAATACGTATTTCAAATACTTGTATTTGAAATACTGCCCATCCCTGCACCTCAATCATCTTTACGTTATTTTATCAAGACGTTCAGCGTATACACCGTTTCAAACTCCAAAAACATTGCTTCTTTTTCCGACAACTAAATCATGTAAAAAAAATAATACTTCGCGCAGCGTTTTTTTTTTTTTCCTTCTTAATGTGACAACGAGTATACATCTTCTAGTTTGGGCTCCTTAACCAATGAGAAGCCGACAAGAACGCTCTGGGACCGATCAAGAAGGCAGTAGCTTGTGCCCTAATTAAGGCACGCCCTGCGTTTGTAATGCTGACACAGACTATAAACATGTTTTGGATCTTTGTATTTGCCGTAGGTTGTGGTCAATGACCCCTCTTCCCCAAGGGCTACGTGGAAAAGTTTATCGCGCGTGTATTTGATAGATCTCCATATCAATTAGGCGTGGCCAACTCCATGTACCTCATCCCAAGTGGGCAGCTCACGAGATGTCAGCATGACTGCGTGACATCCTCGTCACTGAAAGCTATGACGGCGTCGTAGGGTGTGGCTAATCGTGTTCATGCTTTAGGCTTTGGTGATTGGTTGTTTGACCTTCATTACCGACAAACGCAGTCCTGTCATTGGCTGCAGGGGGATAAAAAGATGCTGGGGACTCAACATATGCTTGGGTTTCTTATAGCTCTTGGGGAACTTAGAATCTGCGTATAAAAATGGCTGTGGCCAGCCCCCAATCGTGTCGTCCTAAAACTGCGGCCTTAATTTGGACACTTGGAGACAAATGTCGGAGAGAAATCCGGCGGTAGTGATTGGCCAACGACGCCGCACTCGACCGTGGCGTCGGCCAATAGTAGCCGCCGTATTTCTCGCTGAATGTTTTCACCTCATGTCCAGATTAGAGCCTCTGGGCTTTGAAGAAAGATGCCGACATCACTGGAAGTTTCTTGTCAATGTATATATTTTACGTGCTGTCTAGCGTCTCGAGTAGCGTGTTAAGCACGGTATTGTACTCAAAACTTCGACGCTTCTTTTATTAAACCCAGACACCCTCCACGATAACATTTTTTGGGGAATATCTGACAAGATTTTTAGTTGCTATTATGTGCCGACTGGTGTAAAACATCTGCGTAGGTTTATTTTTCTGAAGGCTACTCGGGGAGTCAAGCATTGATATTCATGGAGGAAGTTTGGCCAATAATAAGACCACACACAAAAAAAAAGGACGCCTTGATATTAAAATAAAGCTTGACGTGAGCATGACGTGAATGCCGCACGGCGTCACAAATTTATTTTTGGTGAAAATCTCTTTGTGGCTTCATCCAACGCCTTCTCGATAAGAAAGCCTAAGTGCCTACCTGCGTCACAAAAGAAGACCACTGTAGGCCAGAGATTGGACACGACAACGGCGTCAGCTTTCGCCAAGAACTTGTGTTCAAGCAGAGGGAACACGACTCCTAGCCGAACCCTGATGCCATAGCAGTGCCCAATTCCCGGTCTATGGTGGCCTTCTTTAGTGACGCAAGGAACTTAGGCTTTCTTATCGAGGAGTAGTTGCCTCATCACTCACCGAACTTCCTCTGTAGGTTGCAGCGTGCAATCGACGCCCCTATTTGACGCCCTGTAACAATAAGATGAGTGGGTTTGGCTCTGCCCTTCGATTTTTATACGACATTCTCAACATTTATGTGCGGAGAGGGAATTGGGCAACTTCTTTATTGGAACCTCCTTGGAACTCCTGTGAATTTGTCTGTTCTTAGATTGCTTTACATCTTCATTTTGTCAAACAACGACAATTAGTAACACATATAAATAAATTATAAAGTTGGCCAACGAATAAATTATTAAGTCGACCAATTAAGTCGACCAACAGAGAAAATGAGAAGTTTAATTGTTTGACTTTATGTGCCATTTTAGGCTTTACACTACAACAGTCATAAGAAATTAACATTATAGCGAAGGCGCGGCAGAAAAGAGCCATGACCAGCAAAATGTTTCATTATACCTAAACGTATGATAACATATTGCGTAGTAGATCACAATTGGCGGGCTTCCGAAGAAAACAATTCAATTAAACTCACAACCGCTAAACAGCGTCGTAAAAATGATTACCATCAGGCAAAATTTCTATATTTAGGAAGGCAGGGTGGGGCTAAGAGGCGGAGCCTTCTCAGATGACACCCCGAACGCGTTCCGAAACTACGCGGCCACCCCACATCGGGCGCCACGGAAGGTGGGGTCCGGCAACGGATCGTCCCATCATCTTAAAACCTATCTGCGGAAACATGAGGCTGGCCCCCTTTGACCAGCGGCGACGGCTCGCCCTCGCCGTTGGCAGAGTCGGCGTGCGGCGGCCAAGAGAAAGAACGGGTTTTCCCCTAAAGCGCCGTTCTGTCGGACCGTCGGCACGGCCAGCAAGCCGGCTGCACCGGCCGGCTCCAACGGGCAGCCTTGGCTGTCGCCGTCCGACGCCACTTTGGCGTCTCAGGGTCCCCCCTCTCGGATGCCAGTGGCTGTTGCGCAAATCAAAACGCTGCGCAGCCGACACCCCGAGAGTCACCCCCTGCTCCTGCTGCTCAGCCATCCCGCTCGGAGATACCATTCGGAGACAGCGAGTGTCATCGGTTTGCTGCAACCGTCGCATCTGGAAGGATTAGCGCGCGTGCGGGCCCGTCCGTCGTGAAGGTTGGCAGTAAAGAAAAGTAAGACACCTATTGCCTTCTGAAAGTCGCGGTCCTCGAGCGCGTAAACCTTTCGTCTGTAAAGATGTAAAGAGTGAGACCGTAACAAATCAGGATTTGTAGATTTTGAGCACGATGCAATAGACAGATTTACTTGTGAATTGTGTTTCTCCTTTGAAGTGTTTATCACAAAAGCAAGATATATCCTGCCATCCAAGCTGCAATTATCTAACTTGCTAGAGTTTAACCAATAAAGGCTAGAAATCGGACCGCTCCGCCAATTAGACTTTCGCAGTCGCTTCGTCTGGGAATAGGGATCATTTCGTTTGAAGTCCAACGAATCGCGTCTGCTGTCAATCTGAATCTTATTATCATATTTTTATCTGTAACTATTGCAGCTGGAGTATACTTTTATCTTGCATTTTGATCTCTATCCCGATACAACCATAATGCTTAAAGTAACACGTCCTTTCTCGCCCAGTATTTTTCCCGTGGTCCCTTAGTGCCATCCGCGTCTCATAGAACCTATTCTCGTTTAGTGTCCGTCGCTGTATCAGTCATGCGGTTTCTGCACAAAATTAGGGAGTCAAAAACGCGTAACTCGATCACCATTCCTTACTGCCGGCGTGTCACCTCAAGGGCGTGTACCGTCGGTTGCTACGTACTTGTGACAATAGCTCTTCCGGAGTGCAGCTGAGATCAACCTAATCGTTAGTTGCCGACTCAGATCCATCCTATATCGTGCTGTGTTTTGAACACCTCACAGTACTCCCAACTTGAAAGGATGTTTGGGCCCTCTGTGTGCTTCTGATCCACTGGATTCTTGAAGATCGACGTCATAAGATCGACACGGTTCTTTATGGACGTCATTGAAGATGGTTGGAGCCAATAGAAGACAAAGAGATGCCCTATAGGGTACAAGAAACGTTCACCCTTGTCTTATTATGACCATTTTTAACAACGTGTGTATCGCAAATGAGTTACACTGAATAGATTGATCAACCACAGCCTTCAAGATATCTTCAGCGATTGGTGCTCATCTTCATGTGTAATTGAACCACCGCCTTTGTATTGGAAGAACGGCAGTGGCACGAGACAGTGCATCTGGTTTGACTCCGTCTCGACTAAAGAGAAGACACTTCTGACTACGAGAATGGATATTGCGTCTTTTCCACGGTGAGCCCACATCTTACATCCTTGCATACTAATGAACTGCTTATTGTGTTACTAGTTCTTTGATAATGGGGCATGGTGCGTCTGTTCTTTTGTGCCAAACTTGTAAACATCAAAAGAAGTCTGGGCAAGTTCCGTTAATGATATTCAAGGGTGCACGGCACGAAAGTAATGCAGACAGTAAGAACACACCACAGGTCTAACCTACTTTCAGTTCAGGTTTTTTTGGCATGGCACTGGGCGTAATTGTAGTTTGTCATGTTTATGTCTAGAAATCGACGTCACTGGCATTATTAACACGGAGTTCTATAGGAATTGCTCCCATAAGGTGAGAGTAGCATTACAAAAGAGCGTTACGAAGAATAGTGACACGGCCACCAAATTTACTGACTCGCGCTAATTGATAATGCGTAATGAGGATCTATTGGTATTATCAGAAAATAAGTATACGCGTCCTTCTGCTACGCACCCTCGTTCCAACTTTATCCTTAAGATAAAGATGCATTTATTTATGGTGTCATGTTAATAAACTTTAGTCTAAAATCAGCGGTGTGATGTGTTCTTTCTGCCCGTGTTTCTATTTTGCACTGTACGTCTATAAATGCTTATGAATGACGAGAAAAACAAAGAAATACTGAAATATCATAACTTACTTTGAGTTTTAACTGATATTGTGCCTATATAATCATGCTTTAAATTTACCGACCCTTGAGCTTCCAACGCTAAAACCATACTGACTCAGTTTACTTTAACAACTCTTCAGTAACATCTGACCCCCATCTGACTTCTTCGTATTACGGTTGGTATTTCGTGTGTTCCGTTCGAAGATTGGAGTGTTCGAAATCTTTCTACGAAACGTTTTCGCTCCATCTCTGTTCGCGAATCATCTAATTGGCGCGGCTCCTCTTTTCTGAGTCAGTTTTGGGATACCATAACGTGTGAGTCAACAACAATTTGAAGTCGGCTCTTTGAAGGGCACGGCTGCGAAACTTAACTTGAACCATGCGTGTTCCGGTCGGAGGGTGCGTCAGATTCGCTTGTCTCAGACGCGGCTTGCTTCGCGTGTTTTCGATCGCTTGTATTAATAAACTTTTTAGCTCATGAGTCATGTGCAGCATTTTGTCTTTAAAACAAGCTTTCTTAGCACGAATTATCCTAAGAAAACAAACAAACACATTCTGCGAAGTTTTTGACCGACACAATTGCATCTTAACTTCGTCTTTTAAGCGCTCGTGCACAAGTCATGCCTTTCTCATGAGTTAAACTTTCAACAAAAGAGTTTCATTGCAATGTTATCTTGCAGATATATAATTTACTTAATTAATTTTATAAAATGCTCTCAACAATCTCAATGACCTCTTGTAAAAATCGTGTGCGAATGGCGACCGATATGAATAAAACCAAAACAATCATTTTATTCAAATGTACAAAAGTGCCGACCTAACGTTATCTATAATAGAACAGTGGATTCCGACATTATTATATATGGTTCGCTACCTAATAGAGCTGTCGCGAACTTCACTTAAATACTTTACTTAGTGATGTGCGGAACGATGTTCCAAGGAGCGCCGTTCCTGGAACGCGTTTTTTTAAGGATGGAATGAAAGAACGCTGCCGTTCCATCTCGCATTTATGGAACTGGAACGGGAACTCGTTACATTTGTACTGAAACGGAAAAAAATGAGGTTTATTTTCTACTTTTTAGTTTAGTCAGTTCGTTTTTTTATTTCTAAGTGGGAAACATTAAAAAATATTTAAAAAAAACAATAAGTTTACGAAGATCAATATCTCGTTAACTTTCGTGTTACTCATTTTAGGGTTTATTTCGTGGGGCCCTCGCTTGGTAACAGTCGGGTGCAGGCGAGCTGGTGGACATTGATTCTTCTGAGACTACGGCACAAAAAACAAAACTTTTAGTCGAAGAAAAATTCACGGAAAGAGGAAACTCTCAAATTCGGCTACTTTCTTTGCTTCCAGGAATCCTCGTACATTCAGAAATCTGGGGCCAAGTAAAGCCATCACTGAACTTCAATAAAGAGACCCACGGTTACAACAAAAGCAGGTTAACAGACATCGAACGCACCCTTCTAGCTCCAACATTGGTCACTTAAAAGATACACAAAAAATTAATTTTCATTCCCTCTCTCCCTCTCCCTCACCTTCCAACTGAACAACGAATTCGACCTTTACGAAGAAGGACTGGTAGTTTTCAAGACTGACCTTCCAAAAGCACCACCCCCTTCTCCCTTTGCTAATCTTGCGGACTGCAACATCGAGAAGCAACCGTTGTTAAGTTTCAAAAGGAAAGGAACTTACATTGAAACGTGTGAGGTTGCTTTAAAACGCTCGTGCAATGTGGGGAAACCCTTTAATAAAGAATAATAAAATTAAACCCGCTACTTCGTCTCAGCTCACAGTACATCTGGCTCGTCTGGATCGCCCACCATAAACAGGAATATGGTAAAACGCTGCGATTTTTAAAGGTGAAGACATTTAGAACCTTGCTTCTGTTTGCTTCTCCTGGTGTCCTTCTATCACAATATTCAAAATCGTATGTTTCCATTTGATGGGATATATATAAACGTTATTTGAACTAACTGAATATGTTAATTATCACAATAAAAAGTAACGTATATGTAACGATACGTTCCATTTTTTTATATACTAACGGGGACGAGTTTCTTTTTCACAGATGGAACTTGTAACGGGAATCCGTTCCAAAAATCAGAAGGAACGAGGAACGACCTTTCGTTCCATTTTTAGAAGAATGTGTCCAACATTGACTTGACTGAAGCTTGCGGATGACGATAAATTGCTGAAAATCCCTTCAGAAATTTTCTTATTGATGGTTGCGTGGTGTGCTAATCGTTGAGACCGACGAGAAGCTCGAACCGTCTCATTCTCCTGGCTAGGATAATTAAGGGGGATTTGCCTTGTTGTTAATACGGGTTTTTGTGTCATTCTACAGTCAATAACAGTTAACCAGGGCGTGGTGAGTCCCGAATGTCTCATCACTCCGCGATAGAGTGGAGACAAAAAAAAAAAAAGACAGAAAAAAAATGTAATTTTTTATCATGAATTACATTTTTCTTTTTTGCCATGATCATTAAAGTAAGCAATTCCAAGAAAAAATTAACCTGGAAATCAAGTTTATTTATAGTTTCACTCTCCAATCTTCAATACTTACAAATTTAGGGTAGAGAAAAAAAATCAAAATTATTTAAATCCTGATTTAAATCGCACCTATTTGACTACAATGATTTGAATCAAACACTTTTCCCGAAATCAATACCGAAATTGATTTAAATCACATAGATTTCATCTAAATCAGATAAATCTGATCGAAATGAAGCAAATATTCGTTAAATAAAATAAATCTGATTTATATTATTTTTCTAATCTTTTTTTTTTTTTTTTGGTTTTTGATGGTCAAATTTGTATTTTTGCGTACCTTTTATGAAACAAAATTCAAAGGAAATATTTTTCCTATTTTTTTTTCTGCAGTATACAGAGCAGACGCTATCTCCTGGGAGTTATTCTTTTTGTAAGCCATTCTGCAACAAATTATTACAGCCGAGCATTGACAATCGCGAGGAAGTTGATTGAAATGCAATAAGCATTACTAATTACGGAAGTGGATAACAAACAGGAAACTAAACTGCGATGAGTTCAATGTTGTACAGGCAGTTTCAAGGGACGTATAGTTAACTCTGCATGAACGCATGATTGCGTCTGTGGAGGTATTTGTATGTTACATACTAGCTGATCACGTCACACGTACGAAACTGAATCTCTGAAAAAGTGTCGGATGAATAACTTTGATTTTTAACGGTGCCGTTTGAAATCGTATGCATGGGTGCACATATGTGTACACACATACACATGCACACTGAGTGTGAGAGCGTGTAGTAATTTATTTACCGGCATATCACCTTGTACAATGGTAATGATGTAGACGTCCACACTTTTTGTCGTTGCCAAAATAAAGCTTAATTTATATTGTATATTTAAGAAGAAAAAAGAAATCACTTGATCATTATTTTGTCTAGTTAGTTCGCGTGTTTACAAACAGAAACAACTAAATAGCATTCCCCACAAAAAAAAACATTTACAAAACTTTTTTTTACTTTTAGATTTATATACGCGTCGGCTAACGCTCATTCACTGCCCAAAATGTAGGGGTAGCGGTTCAAATCAGACGCTAAAGTTTCAGAACTAACCGTTATCTTAATCAAAAGTTACGAGCGATATTCTAAAATTTCAAAAGGGAAAATGGCGGCTGACAGAGCTCTGGAATCCGTGGAGCTCTATATGGCTCCAGTTACCGAAAACGGACAAAAATGGGCCCCATTTTCCAATCGAAATTTTCAGAAAATCCTTAATAACTTTTGATTGAGATAACAGTTAGTTCTGAAACACTTGGCATCAGGTTCCAACCGCGAGCGCTTTATTTGGCCAGAGAATGGGCGTACGGCGATGCATTTATTATTTTTGCAATAAAAAAGAATCTAGGTTTTGGAAGAGGGGGAGGGGGGGGCACATATGTTGGTCGCGCTACCTGATTTTGCTACTTTTGAACAAGTTTTCCTCCCGTTTATTCAGAATTTGTCGAAATTTACGTTCATGACAGTGCTTGCACTTTCGAAAAAAGTAAATGGGTAACTGATGACCTACTCTTATGTGTACAGCGTGATGCCAAAAAAAAAAGTGTAGTGCCGTTTCACCGAAAAATAAGCTATTAATCGCTAGAGTTCCGGAGCAGATGCAACTTTAAGAACTTGCCGTCTGGATCTTTTGGAACTTTCAATGGGGAAAGGGTTCTAGCTTATCCCTGGTAGCTGACGCCATTGAGTTACATCTATTATTGGGCTTTGTAAGCCGCAATTTTCCCATCAAAAAGTATCGGAAATCGCATGTAACTTTTAAATCACGTAACTGCAAGCTCTTAAACTTTAGCATCTGGTCTAAACGACAGAAAGCCCTGCATTTGGGGGAGACTGCGC